GGGAGGAAGGAAAGCCAGTGAAGAAACCGAAGGGAAGAGAACTGCTGAAGGCTGAAGAAGAGGCAATTGAGAATGATAGAGCCTATCCTTCCATCAGTATAGGAGAAGTGGTTATACTAATAGCACAAAGACGTCTAAAGGAATGTGATATTATATATAATTAATGGGCATAGCCTTCACCCTGACATGAATAGCCCGGGTTAGCCCAGTCTCAACAGATCTCGGAAGCTACGCAGGGTTGGCCTTGGTTAGTATTTGGATGGGAGACCACCAAGGAAGTCCAGGGTCACTACGCAGAAGCAGGCAAGGGCAATCCACCTCTGAATGTTTCTCACCTTGAAAACCCTCTGAGGTTGCCACAAGTTGGCTAAGACTTGATGGCAAAAATAATAATAATAATAGCCAACACATCCTTCAGGGTGTGATTGGAGGGAACCTAAAGGAAACAAAAACAAAGGAAGGCAGCCCAGATATATCTGCATAAAGCAAATTAAAGACAAGAAGACTAGAGAAAGAGATGGAGATCTAGCGAGGCAGGCCTCTGTCCTAGTAGGAGTAGAAAGCCGTGGATAAACTTGCATACAGCGTGTCACTGCTCAGATGTGTCCTGAACAGGGAACCTCAGTCCAGCCACACAAAAGCTCCTATTTTCAGCTGTCTTCAGCTCCATACAGGACTCTCATCGCTAATTCTGAGCTGTCAGCTGTAAGCAGAGCATGGATCCTCCCTGCTCCTTTCATTTCTCTGAAGGCTCCATAAGATTGGTTGTTGAGAAAAGGAACTTGGATCCTGTGAAGAGCAATGACAGTACAGGGTCAGAGTTGTCAAATAGGTCTTTCTCAATGTCTGCATGTGTGGCAGCAATTAAAAGAGAATAATTTTCATCATTGTTTATTTACATTACAATCATACACTGTATTAGAAGTCAAGGCAACTTCCTGGGGTGTAACTCCCCTCTCCCAGCCAGGGAAGCTCCAAGATCCAGCGGGGCTTGGCAGTGTGTAGGAATCTGGGTCACCAGCTCCCCTAGGACATGTGGTGAAATACTCCATCCTAACCTGCCACTGCCACTACTGGGACAGAATCCTTATAATCTTTTGCTACCATCCCTGCCATGGATTGAAGATCCAGATATATGGAGCAAAAGGGAACAGCTCTTACTGTTCTGTAACTTCATCAATGTCTTCTAAAACTAGGCTGGCTCTCTGCCATGGTCCTACTTGCTATAGACTATGTTATCACCATGTGTGGGAACATTAAGCTGTGTGTGGCACTGCTGGCATGGCAACCTTCCCCTTTGGGACTGCCTTGAGCCTGGCTACTTGACATGACTGGAACAGGATTATTGGCTTCTGTAGGGTGGAATGTAGAGAGAACCTTTACCTTTACTTTAGGGCGGAATGTAGAGTTTTGGTTTCTGTTCCTGGCATCGCCACTGACTTTTTCAAATGTGTGTGCGCATGTTGGCAGAGCTCTTTATCACTATCTGGCTTCTTATGGCATTGTGCTGACCAAAAGCTGTGGGCTGGTTAGTTAACTAATTATTAATTACTCTGTACAAACCTTAGAGTAATTGGTTTGTATCTTGTGCACTGTTTCTGTGCAGGCATAAGGACTTCTGCCTGCAGTGCATGACTTTTGTGACTCCCCACTCCTATTGCAGCCCAAAGTACCCCTTGAAATCTTTGGGGTCTCTTCTCCCTCAAGAGCAGGGTTTCAGGGGACATTTCAGGCTGCTGTGGGAGGAGGGAACTGCAAAAGTCATGCTTTGTGGGTGGAAGTCCTTATGCCCACGGAAACTCTGAGCAGGGTCCAAGCCATTGTCTTGCAAGGCCAGAGCATACCATTTGGCAGCAAGCTCCTCTAAAGTAGAGGTTCTGAAAATGCTCAGCAGTTCCAGCAGTTGGTGTTCTTGCTGCTTAGCACAATTCAGAAAATGAGCCCTCATTTGGTAAAAATGGAAGGTCCCATTTTGTAGCACTGAGATTAATTTCTTAGCGTCTTGAGTAAAAAACATCTCTTAAAGTGCTTCTTGTGTGACCTAGCTGCTGTCTGTAGTGGGGACCATCTTGCCACTTAACCCTGTTCATGCTGCAAGTTTATTAACTAATTTATGTCCCAAGAGGGAGGAAAGAGCAATATAGTGCTAGAACCTATGTCCTGGGCTCCTAAACTCAACACTAAATTGATATATAATTTGTTCTCCAAAGAGCTCTGACAAGGGAGAGGAAGGGGCCATGCCTTGTCTTTCACCTGGAAACAGCAACTTACAGCTCCCTCCTGACAGTATTGCTAACTTTCACACCTGCTCAGGAAATGGTGCTATCCTGTCCTCTTGTGTTTCAATTATCCTTTCCTGTTTCCTCCAGATCAGCTGTCTGTGTGTCCCCTTCTCATGTTGTTAGCATCTGTTTCCAGTTTAGCTGCCTGGAACATTACCTACTGAAGGGAAACTCCGCTTCATCGGAATGAATTGGTGCCAGGAAACATATTTCAGTTCTTATCCAGACTACTTCCTCCCACCAAACAGTTAAGCCTTTACTTAGAGAGAGACGTAGTGGACATTCCCTTATGGCAGCAGCCCCCAGCGTGACACCCACATTGTCCTGCTTCCTGGCCCTTTCCACAATCCTTACATATTCCCTTTCAAATTCCATTCGTCTTTGTGTTCTCATTTGCTCCATTCACATTCCTTCTTTTTCTACCCTTCCTTTGTCATCTTTCATGTGCCTTCCTTCCCTCTTTTTCTTTCCCAGTTACTTCCAATGACATTTAGGCTGCAGTTGTGGCTTAAAAGGTAATGGGCACTGGAACTCACAGCTTGGCTCCCTTGGCCTTTGTTAAGGGCATGTATTTGCTTGAACAGCTTCAGCAGTAGCAGAAAAGATCAAGGGAGGTACTCCTGCTATAAGAAGTGAAAACACAAGTAAGATAGGGCAGATACATCATTACCTGAAAGTTTTCTTGGCCCCTTATGAAAACTTAAGTTTACCCACGTAACACTTACTTGAAACTTTATTTTAAAATGTATTAAGCCCCTCCGTGACAGCCATTTTGGGATGGAACTCTTCCTCAAAATTCCGTAAGTGCTCACAAGCTCAACAAAAGTTGGGGACTATATGGGGGAAAGGCTGTAGCCAAGCAGCGATTCATACTACTTGCTCTGCTAAGTTTGGATCTAGTATTTGTCCGGGCCTTATCCTGAAAAACATATAGTAGGCTGGCAATAATTCTCAGCTATAGTAGATGTTGTTGTTTCAATAAATGCAGAGAAAGTGTGTTTTATAATCATAAGGTTAACATGGCATCTTCTTGTATGTACGTGTAGTGATTGGGAGAGTCTATGTCCATGTTGTGTGATGTAGGCCATGGTAACAACTGAGTTCATAATTTCTGCAACTCTTCTGGAATAGTTATATTATAGCAAAAAACATGTAATTCCCCAGATGAGCAGCTTTAGGATCTCTCTCTGTGAAAAAAAGAAAATTCTACAAACAGCAAGAGACTTTGAGCTCAGAGCAGGGGAGCTGAAATGGAAAAGAGATCATAATCTGGATGCTTTCCTCTTCTTTTCAGTCTGCAGACTAGCTGAACATCAATCTGAATACTTAACTGGGTTGTAGCTAAAATAAATCACTGTCTTTTAGAAGGTGAAATTACAATGTCA